CAGCCCCTAATGTGTTCCTACAAGGAACAGTGCAGAGGCCACCGTGACTAGTACTGAATAAGCCAGCGTAGGGGGGTGGGAGGGGATGAAGCCAAAGGAAAAAGGCACAAGGTGGGAACCAGACCTTGTAGAGCCTGCTAGGCTGTTTGAGTGATTGGTAAGGTTTTTTAGTTTTGTTTTGATTTTAAGTTTTATTTGTTAAAATACATCTCTTAGTTATCTCGTGCTGCTATAACTGAAATACCACTAGTGGATGGCTTTAACAAACAGAAATTTATTTTCTCACAGTTTAGGTGGTTATAAATCGTAATTCAGGATGCCAGCTCTCGGGGAAGGCTTTCTCTCTCTGTCGGCTTTGGAGGAAGGTCCTTGTCTCTTTAGCAACTGTTTTCTGGTTCCTTGGAGATCTCAAGACTAGTATGTAGCCCTAACATCTAGATCATGGTCTTTAATACTTCTTGGAATGGTGGCTGATATGCCTGGTATGCTGGGTGAGCCAGGTTCAAGGTGGGTCAGGAGCAACATGCTTCTACCAGAAAGTAAGAATTCTATTTAAAAATTTGGTGTCCTTCCTAAGGATTCCGACTTCGTTTTCTCCCCAGGTAACTATCATTGGTTTAAGATTATAGTAGCCAGAAAAATAATCTTCTAGATAAGATTTCACTGAGCACCTGCTACGTGACTGAAGTTTTATTAGCCATTGGAGAAAACACAAAGATGACAAAGACAATCTTGTGGAGGGAATGCAATGGTACAGTCTGGCAGGTGTATAAAAAAAAGTCCTTCTGACCACCCTTAATCCAGACTCCAGAGCTTTGAAGGTGCCTGGGAAGCAAGGCACCTTGTTTGAACACCAACAGGAATAGAGTGTTACCTGCCTGTAGTTGTTCTGGTTGCTGCCAATGGATAAAACAGCAGCCTGAAATCTTCCATGAAAGTTATTTCACCTTCTCCACTGCTTGAGCCAAGCACTGTCCTGTTCATGTAAGTTCCCTTAGGACTTAGAGGACACCCTCCCAATCTTCTTCCCCCTCAAAGATTTCACTGTGCTGCCTCCCAGTCATTCCTAGCATCTCCCTAGGGAACATGGATTGGACCTGTAGCATCTTCCATGGTTCTCTGAATCATGGAGAGGTGGGGAAGATAGGACACAGATGGCATTTCCCTCTTGATTTATTTCTTGTAAAGAAACATCATGTGATGGTTAAGATTGTATGTCAACTTGGCAGGGCCATGATTCTCAGTGTTTTAACGTAATCACTCCCATGATTGAATATACTGTGAGTAGCCAATCAGATGAAAGGGAGTCTCCTTGGGGGTGTGGCCCGCATCTGAATATAAGCAGATGTTCTGGCTTTTTGCTCTCTCTGGATCCTGCGGCTGCTTCCTGTCATCGCATCTCCTGTTCTTGGGACTCGAGCTGTCAGCTTATCTGCCAAACCTAGGATTCGTCGATCTGCACAGCCTGTGAGCAGGAGCCGTGCTCACCGACCTGCCGATCTTGGGCTTGCCAGCTTTGGCAGCTGTGTGACTTGGAAGAGGCCTCTACCCTGATCCACAGACTTGGAACGTTCTAGCCTCTACAATCGCATGAGTTGTTTCCTTGATATAATCTCTTTCTATATATATATATTTATACACTTTACTGGTTTTGCTTCTCTAGAGAACCCAGCCTAAGACACATCACAAACCTATAACTCAGTTTTACATCATTTTATTTTTTGATCCCAAGATGCCTGTGGGAAAACATTCCCATCAGGAACAATGGTTGGCAAAGGCAGAGATTCTTCCCAGGATTGGGCGAGTGGAAGGGGAATACCCATCTCCTCCTCAAGAAAGTGTATTGAAATTTCTGGGGTAGGGGTGTGTATAGCCTTCAAAAGCCCCCCAGTGATTTTGATCTATGCACCTCCTGAACTCTTCATTACCTTGTCGCTTTAGGCTCCACATTGTGGTTCCTTCTGCCAGTCTAATAAGCAACACTTGAATAATGAATATTTTTCAAGAGTATTTATTAGCAAATAATTTATAAATTGAGGAGGGAGCAGTTCTTTTTCCCGCCCCCCTCCCGTTTGTCCGATTTGTTTGCAGAATACAGGTGCACAGGCAGATTTAATCACATTTCTTTATTTTGAAAAGCATTACCTACATTAAAAATACGGCAGCAACATATAATGAGATGGCCGGCCTGTAACGTGGCCCACAGCTGTAAATGTTTACACATTAGTGAGTACTTAAACTGTGGATTCTGGAGCAACCAAGTGCAATTTGCCAGAAAATTGAGGTAGCAATTGTGCTCATTGATTGTATTACAAGCAACTATTTTCTTGAGAAAAAACAATGCTGTTGTATAGAAAGATGGTTTATTTTGGTCTTTGCTTAGAGAGCTCCCATTCTAAATTAAACCTTATACTAGGCCTAAGGGGATTGCATCATTTAAGCTAAAAATGGATAAACACTGATAATTCTTACCCTCTTCTTGTTTTTCCTTCTTCTCCACTTGTTCTAGGAACAATGACGTCATATTTCTTGGGGGCTTCACTCCTGGGAGGCAGCTCTAAACCAGGTCATAAGCTTTTCTCCACTCCATTCAATTCCTGGGGACTCCTGGATCCCCATCTGTCTTAGTTATCTAGTTAGTTAGTGCTGCTAACAACAAATGGGTGGTTTTAACCAACAGAAACTTATTTTCTCACAGTTTAGAAGACTAGAAGTCCAAATTCAGGGCACAAGCTCTAGGGGAAGGCTTTCTCTGTCTGTCATCTCAGTGGGAAGGTGCTTGTCTCTTTTCAGCTTCTGTTCTTGGTTCCTTGTCAATCTTCATGTGGCGTGTATCTTCCCCTCTGTGCTTTCTTCTCTGTGCCTAATCTGCTATTTTTATCTCAAAGGTAGTTGGCTTAGAACACACTTTATGTCAATATGGTCTCATTAACATAACAAAGAAAGTCCTATTCTCAAACGGGATTACATTCACAGGTATAGGGGTTTGGGACTTACAACCCATATTTTGGGGGGACATAATTCAATCCATAACACCGCTTCACCTGAGCTGCGAGCAAACTCCCAAGAGAGCCCCTGTGAGGTATGAGGAGCATGGTCCTGAGGCCTTGACCAAGTAATTTCCCATTTCTGGATCTCAGCTGTCTTAATTCAACATCAAGAGATTTAGGCTAAGAAATTTGGAGTTCGATGAGATAATCAGATTTTTTAAATTTAACAGTCCCTTCTAGAGTTATTGGTCAATGCTGTAAAACATATTTCTGTCCTTTCTGGGGTCTTTAGTACAAAGCTAGTGGAGGAACTCTTCCCCATTCCAAGAGCAGACCCAGTGATGTTGTTCTCCAACCTCACCCTATGTGAAAACTACCTTGCAGGCAAGGGCTGAGTCTGGAACTCGTCACTGAAAACTACTCTTCTGGTTCCCAGCAACCCTTTTCCATTCTGCTGCAACTCACTCTTTGTGCCTCTAAACTTCTAGGGTACCAGATTACCAACTTGAAAACCATAAAATAATTACAGCTGGAAAGGACTTAGATGCGATCTAGCACAGCCTCCCCTTGTGCAGGTAAGAAGACTGAAGTCCCCGGTGGGAAATGATTCCACTAAAGACCACTCGGCAGTTGTGGCAGAATTGGCAGAAGCAGCCACATCTCTTGGTCTTTTCCCTGCCCAAGGCTGTCTTTCTTCAGGTGACTGCGCTTTCACCTGCATTATGCAAATTCATAGTTAAGTTCCCTTCCAAGTCTCTAAAGTACTTAAATTGGGCATTAGGGACCTGTGGATTCCCTGTTGCCTGGCCTCCTTCAGGGGCAGCTGAGGCAGCAGGAGCCTGCCGCTCAGAATAAATTCACTCCTCCATCAGCAGCCTTAGCATGGCTTGGACCAGGAACTAAAAATAAAGGGTTGTGCTCTGACAATTCTGTGATGCTGTGAATCCAAACTGTTATTATTGTGCTTTTTATGGCATATTAAGTTGCAGTCTATCTCACCAACTGGACTGAGAGCTTCTCTCTCAGTCCTCATGAGTATTAGGAGCTAAATACGGATTGCAATAAAGCGACAAATGAGTTTGGTTTCAGAAGGCCTGGATCTGAATCTTGGATGAGCCACTTAGAGGTTGTGTAAACCTCAGTCTCCTGATCTGGACAACTGCCTTGGCCAGCACTAGGTCTAGCAGCTGTTGTTGTTGTTGTTAGGTGTCTTCGAGTCAGTTCTGGCTCATAGCGACCCTATGAACAACAGAAGGAAACACTGCCCGGTCCTGAGCCATCCTCACAATTGTGGTTATGCTTGAGCCCATTGTTGCAGCCAGTGTGTCGATCCATCTCACTGGGAATCTTCCTCTTTTTCACTGACCCTGTACTTTACCATGCATGATGTCATTCTCCAGGGACTGATGTCTCCTGACAACATGTCCAACGTATGTAAGACATAGTCTCACCATCCTTGCTTCTAAGGAGCATTCTGCTAAGGTCTAGCAGCTAGTGTTTGGCAAATAATAAAAGATGGCCACAGCACATTGGGGGTGTGGGAGCAGCAGGCTGTGTATTTCCCTGTTCCTTGTTTCTCTTTGGCTCCCTAGGGTGTCATAGCTACTGCAGCACACAGATGTGCAGAATGTATGGAGGAAGAGTAGGGTGAAACAGGACCATGGAATAGTCCTTGCCTCCTGGAGACCTCGGGAGGCCTGGTGGAGCGTGGTCTGGGGCTGGGCTTCCCACTGGCTTGCTTCACTTAATCAAGTGTCACTACCCAGCCCTGCTCCCAAAGCCCAGCTCAGAGTCCCAGAACCCCCCTTGGGGCTTCCTTCATCCCCACCCCTGGCTCTTGGCACCCTGCCTGTCTGCCATGGTTACAGCTTCCAGGGTAACAAAGGAGAGAGCTGGGTCCTGTTTCCTCCTGGTCCTGCCGATGAAGATTTCCAGACCGTGGAGATTGAGTCCTGCACTTACCCAGGCTCTTTCTGTGTTCTTGCTCAGGTAGAGCTCCAGCTTCCACCCGTGCCAGCCAGGACCATGTGTACCAGCTTGACTGTTTGTGAGTGGAAGAAAGTCTTCTATGAGAAGATGGAGGTGGCAAAGCCGAACGACAGCTGGGAGCTCATCATGGACCCCAAACTCAAGCCCAATGAACCAGACCCTGGCTGGAAGCAGTACCTGGAGCAGCATGCCTCAGGCAGGTGAGAGGCCCAGTGAGGAGGGGCCCTACAAGCAGCCTCGGGGTCACAGCCATGGGGGCACCTTCCAAGGGGAGGCAGAGAGATATGTGGAACCCAGTCCTGGGGTCAGCCTCACTTGTGTGTCGGATCAGGTGGCTTGCGGAGGTCTTGGTTCTAATCCTAGCTGTACCACTGACTCCCTGGGTGACCCTGGACATGTTATATACCATCTTTGGTTCTTGGTTTTCCATGTGAAATGAAGAACTATAATATCTTCAATGGCCTTGCAATATACGACATATTACATGTTTTCAGATTTTCATAATATCTTAAAGAGTGGTTGGAACCTGTGAGAAGAGGATCTGAGTCCCACTGGGGGAACCTTTTACCTGGGAGTCAAGAATGGGGAGTTGGGCAGTCCTGGGTCCATTCATTACAGTTCAATCCAATTTGATTGGAATGCAGAAACATTTATTGACTATCCGCTATGTGCGAGAGCCTGGCTCTATAGCTAACTCGCTCTGTGAACCTGGGCAAGTCTTCCCTCTCTGGGTCTGTTTTCATATCTGCACAGGAGGGGTTGGCTTTAGATGATCAGTCAAGTCTTTCCAGCTGTATTATCTATGTGTCTGCAATGGAAAGCCCACTTTGGGCAGGACTGCTCTTAGGCCCTCAGAGTGCCTGCCCAGGGCCCCCCTACGTTAGAGGGGCTGCAGGCCTTCTATGGAGTGGAGAGTCCCTGAGGCCAAGGGGACATGTCCATTTGAAGTCCACAAGCCTCTCCCTCTTCTAGACCTTGACTTGGGACCGGGACCACAGAATTCCCTGTCAAACTACCTCAAACCTATTTTCTGGGTCTGAGCAGGCCTCTTCCTGGGGTCCATCAATTCTAGGACAGCTTGTATTCCTGGGCCCCTAGGGTGGCTATTTGCAAGGATTGTTGGCAATTGCAGGGTGTGGACAGAACTTGCACGCTTGAACCCAGAGGTCCACGCTTGTACGTGTGTGATGCCCCTCATGGTACAGGATGATACTGAATGTGGGAAGAAAAGGAGACAGGCTGTGGATGGGGAGCTTACCTTTGTACTCTTGCCCCAAGACTCACAAATATTAGGGTGAACCTGTCTTTGGGAAGGGGGCAAAACAGAGGGTGGAGTTGGTTCAATTAAATTCCAATCAATTCCAGAAACATCTGTTGGGTACCCATGACACGCTGGGCCCTGGCTTTGCCTCCAACTAGCTGTGTGTATATGGCAGCTCACTTACTCACTCTGTGCCTCAGTTTCCTCTCAGTAAAATGAAGGGCTGACTAGACGATTCTAAGGCTCCCTTCCCCCACCCCCAGCTCTGATATTCTTGGGTTTAAGATCTGGGGGTCTGGCTTGAGGGAGGGGAAACAAAGTCAGAAAAGACTGAAACCGTGAACCTCCTAGGCTGGCTGGTAGAGAGGTGTGAAGGGCTGAAAACTTGGGGGCAGGGGCCCAGGGGTTTGGGGGCTGAGCTCAAAGAGCTCCTGGCTCTCCTAGCTCAGGGCTCAGCTGGTCCTATTCCTGGCTGCTGACCTGCAGCTCCAGGCAGGGCTGGAGAACTGCCGGCCTTGGGCTCATCTGGGTACAGGCTCACTCTTCTTTTAGGTCTTGGGATGCATTGACCCTGGCACCCTGCAGCTCTGACCCAGTATGAGTGGGGGGCAGGAGAAGGTAGTCCACCTCTGGCCCAGGAACAATCAAGCTACTCTGCCCTTCCAGCCAGGCCTTGAGCTGCACTGGGTATTGTTCTGTGCTCATCTTGTCAGTAGGCTCCAGGGGTCAGGGCTGGGTTAGCTTCACCTCTATCCCACAGCTTGGGCCGTGGGACTCATGGCAAACACTAGGGACTGAATGGTGTCTACTGGATTAAACTGATTTCCTCAATAGAAATCCTTTAAGACCATCGTAAACTAGGCCCAGAGAGGGTCAGCGATGAGGGCAGACTCAGCCCGGTGACACACCTCTGCCTGTAAAGCCTTGTAACAGAGCCTGGAAGAGGTTACCTAGGGGGTGGAAGGTAATGATGCTCAGTCACAGGAGGTGTGTAAGAGCTGGGTGGGGAGGCTGAGGGGTGACCTCAGGCCTCCTCCCTCCGTGCTTCCTGAGGCAGGGGCATTCAGGGGCCCAGGTTAGGCAACACTGCCCCTGTGTGTGTATGTATGTGTGTGTATACCTGTGAGGGAAGGGGGAGCAGGGACCGGGTCCACTTTCATAGGCTTTGCTGCAGGGCTGGTGTGGGATCTAGGGCTGACGTGTCAAGGGACAGGGGAGTGCTCTGTGAAGATGCAGGAACCAAGCTCGGTAGACCTCAACAGGCAGGGGCACCATCTATCCAGTCATTCTTGGTGATTTACTGAGGCCCCAGAGCGTGCCAGGGTCTGTGCTTGGCACGTTGGAGGCATTTCCTCTTCTCCCAGAGCACGCAGCATACTCAGGTGAGACAGTGCAGGTCATACCTTTAGCAGAATCACAGAAGTCTGAGCAGGAAGGACCTTATTGGAGACCATGACCCTGCACTTCCCAAAGAGAAGATATAGCGTCCAGGCGTGCAAGCCTGAGCGCATTCGATTTGGAGGGTGCTCATACCCCTGGGAAAGAAGCCGTGCTGGTGCAGTGATTAAAGCCTTCGACTTCCAACTGAGAGGTCGGCCATTGGAAACCATCATCGTCCTCGGCGGGAGAAAGAGGTGGCAGTCTGCTTCCCTAGAGATTTACAGCCTTGGAAACCCTATCGGGTCACTAAGAGTCGGAATCGACTCGAGGGCAGTGGGTTTGGTTTTGGGTTTGAGACCCCTGGAGGGCACGGAGAAGGCAGGCTTGGGTGGGCAGAGCACTGCCGGGTGCCAGATGTATCTGGAGCCAGGCTGCTGACGATCTTGCTCTGGTCCCAGGGGCGCTCACCAGGAGCAGGTGGGAGCCGGTGAGCTTAAGAACCCAGCGAGCCATAAACACTCCGCCTCCACCTGGAGGCACAAGACTTGGCCCTTCTTTGCCCCCACTCCCACCCCCACCCCTACTCGCCCTGAGCGGGGTGTTTTGCAGGGGCACCTTCTCCATCCTTCCTCTCCCTTTCCCCGCAGGTTCCACTGCTCCTGGTGCTGGCACACCTGGCAGTCCGCCCACGTGGTCATCCTATTCCACATGCACCTGGACCGCGCCCAGCGGATGGGCTCCGTGCGCATGCGCGTCTTCAAGCAGCTGTGCTACGAGTGCGGCACGGCGCACCTGGACGAGTCGAGCATGCTGGAGGAGAACATCGAGGGCCTGGTGGACAACCTCATCGCCAGCTTGCTCGAGCAGTGCTATGACGAGCGCGGTGGCCAGTACCGCATCCACGTGGCCAGCCGCCCAGATCGCGGGCAGCACCGCGGCGAGTTCTGCGAGGCCTGCCAGGAGGGCATCGTGCACTGGAAGCCCAGCGAGAAGCTGCTGGAGGAGGAGGCCGCCACCTACCCCTTCTCCGGTGCCTCTGAGCCGAAGGCCCAGGAGGGCTCTGGTTACAACTTCTTCTCGCTTCGCTGGTGCCTCTTCTGGGCCTTCCTCTGCGTGCTCATTGTCTACCTGCAGTTCTCCTTTCGCACCTCTGTCTTTCTCTAGTGGAGCTGCTTGGGGTGGAAGGGAGGGCACATGGGGTTGGGAGTGGAGAAGACACGACGCTGGTCCTGATTCTGTGTATAATCCTGAACATCTCAGCCACCTCTTTGGGCCTCAGTTTAACCTTCTGTAGAATGACAGCTTTGCACTAGGAGATACTTAATGATCCTTCTATCAAATGTTACAGTAATGGGGGAAAGGGAGAAGCTTTTAGAACTCCCCAGGTTTTGAGTTAGTACAAACCCATGGGGTTTTCCTTCTTCACCTCCATCTCTACCCCTCCTTTTGCTTCATTTCTGTATCCCACACCCCATTAGGACCTCACCAAGCCTTGTCTTACCCCTGTCTCATTCTCAAGGTTATCTTCAGCTGCCTCTGACCATCCTGCCATGGTCCCCTTTGGAGAGGGCTATTGCCCCACCCAATACATAGAGATGTCTTAACTGGTCCCCGGCCCCTGTGAAGATACAACTCTCCCCTCTCCTCTACAGTCTGCCCCCACCATTCTTAGATACTCTTAGATGCTCGGTTTTTACTCATGCTAGCGCCTGCTCGGCTCAGATGACAGGAATTGCCTAGTGCTGCGCTGTCCAATATGGTAGCCACTAGCCACGTATGGCTATCTAAATGTAAATGAACGTAAACTTTAGAAGCTCTGTTCCTCTGGTGCATTTCAAGTACCCCACAGCCACATATGACTAGTGGCTACCTGCACTGCACACACAGGTTGCCTTAAAGGCAGTCACAAGATCCCAAGCAGCCACAAGACTATTAGGATGAGGATTCCAACCAGTAGCAGTAATCCCACCACAGGTGCAATGTCCATCCGGTTCAAATGAATTGCACACGAGACGCAGAGTGTTAGCCAGGTGAAAGCCCTTTTTTACTCACAGAAAGCAAACAGCAAACAATAGGAACAGATTCATGGTAAGCCGGTCCCCCAGGCTAGGAGGGCTGTCCAAGCAGGATGGATACCTCTCTGTGCATGGTCCACATTGCACCATAGGAAAGGGACCTCAGAGTCCCATAGCTACCTGATTTTATACTCCAGGACTCACAGGACCCACGGAGCCACACACAGTTGCAGATTTTCTAGTCTGACAACCTGAGGAGGTTTAGGGCCTTTGCAGTCAGACACATAGATGCCATCCCAATCCTGTTGCTTATCTGGGCAGAACATCAAGGCTTAGGGTGGGTCGTGTTTTGTCTCAAAGCCCAGGGACATTAGCAGAGGGAGGAATGGGGAGAAGCATGGTCATTGGGTTGATTCAGGGCTTCTTTCACTACCGTATTGCACAGTGCAGATACAGAACATTTCCATCATTACAAACCAGGACCGCACTGGTCTAGAGCTTGAAATTCCCATTTAAACACATGTGGATTCAAAAATAATAGGTGGGTGCAAGTCCAAATGCACAGCATGAAGCCTTCTGGGGACAGGAACAAGGACAGGTGGGGTAGGGTGGGGTATGGTGGAGATACACAAATAAATATGCAAACTCTGCGCTCCTGGCTCTCAGTTGATTGGAATCGTTGGGTCCCAGTGTGGCCCAAACTTATCTCCTGGAGAAAGATGGAAAGTAGGTCTGGTCAGGTGGTCCTGGGACGGGAAGTAGGTCATAGGGGTGGAGTGCCAATTACTCACAGCTCCTTCATAAAGTCCTGATACCACACCTGCCACAGATATGTCCTGAAGGAAGTGCCAGAATGATACAGCAAAGTGTGTCCAAATTGGGGTACCAAGGGAAAAGGGAGATTAAGATAAGTGTTGGAAACCAAGGTGAGTTGCCAAGTGGGATTGGTAGAACCAGGAAGAGGGAGTACAAGATAGAAGTGATGACTGCATAGTCACCATGCCTTGTACACGTCCACCTTTCTCTTGGAGTCTTGGACTAGGCCTAAATTTCTTTAGATGGACAAGGTCATGCTGGTACTTCCTTTGCGAATTTCCTTGGTATCCTATAATGTGTAGTCAAAGCTCCAGGTGTACTAAGCCTGACAGTATGCTTCTGGAAGGAAAGCCCTGTATTAAGCAACCCTCTTCTTGAACTGGGAAAGGCAATCTATGCCCTGGGAGACTTGGCTTCATGATGCCCTGACATCAGAGAGGAGTCCCAGCCAGCCAAGAACTTAACTGTTGAAAAGAGGCTGCAAGAATCTCAACAGAGGCAGAACTTCAGGTTTTGCTTTTTCGTAGAGAGTCCCTGCACCTCCAAACAGCAGCTAGAGGACCTGAGGAAATTCACTGCAAGGTGATGGCTCTGCGTGTTCGTGTTAGCGCCAGTACTTATGCTTGGTGCAGGGAGCTATCCCTCTACCCTCACATATGAAAATATGTTGTGGCAGATTCTGTGGTTGTCTAGTTCCTGGAGATAGTGAGGGAAGGGACAGATGAGACACATCTGTGGATGTGGATTTTCCAGGTGACTGTATGTCTCCATTCAGATGATGAACAAGGGGAAGCATGAGCAATGGAGACCGAGCAGCACCTGTCTCCCAGCACTTTCCCTTTGCATAGTCAATGAGATCACCTTAATTAGGGACTATATTTGCTGCGCCCGCTTCCTCAGGCATAGCTGTGACTCAGCTGGGCAGTTTGACTCAGGGGTTGAGGCGTAAAGACCCTGTATTGATTATTGTCTGGAATTGGGAGCAAAACCTTCCGATTCATATCGCCAATAATCCCTGACCTTCGCACCTTCCTATATCCCACCTTCACAGCCTCTGCCCCAAGCAGGAGCCTGAGAACTGATGGTGAGGTTCAGGGCTGGAGGGTTGGTTGGCTGTGTTCTTGGATGGATGGGCTACTCCGGGCACTGTGTCCCTCCCAACTTTGCATCTTCTCCAACTTTGGTAAGGGGTTTCTGGTGGCTTGTCCAGATTCCTTTGTGGACATGCAGGAGCAAAGAGCTGGGCAACCTGAAAGAGTCTTATCTCTTCCTTTCTTAGGTTGGGAACAGCAGTGGAGGTACAGGAAAAGCATCAGGCTGGAGCGCTTGTGAACTAGCGGGCATGTGAGTCTCTGTGTTCACTGCTGTCAGCTACAGATGGTGCCCCGCTGGGCCTTTATAGAGGATCTGCCCCGTGGGGGCTGTTGCTCAACTGCAGATACATGGCGACTTCTGGGGAGATGACAGTCAAAAGCCCAGGGAATCAAGTGGTCTCCAGAGGACTGTCTTCCCCCTGCCTGGGTAGACCCTGGGAGACTCAAGGGGTCATGAAGGGACAGGATGGGGATGAAGCAGTGCCAGCAGCAGCTCTTATTGAAACTGTGGTTTGTGGGGCTAGGAGTGGACTGCCAAGATTGTGGCTAGGGGGAGGATCATGCCTCAGATGGGTCGGTAAAGCTGGGGCATCTGAGGTGAGGTCCAGGAGCTGAGGAATGGAGAGCAGGCGAGGTTAGGATAGATGAGATGAGGTAAGCCTGGGAAACATTCTGGAAGATGAATCTGTTTTTCTTCTCCTTCTCTATCAGCTCATTTATATAAATATATACTGTCTTTTTCACATTTAACTACAATGACCCTTCTCTAACCCCACATTCCTCTTTAACTACTACCATGTATGTTTTTATTCCTTCAAAGCCAAGTTTCTCAAAGGGGTAAGCTCCATTTACCTTCACCTCTTATTTACTCCTTAAACTATGGAGGCCTTGTTTCCTTGTCCCTAGAACTGCCACCCCTCCCTTATTTCCCACCCAATGGCTGCTTTTCTGTCTGCACCTCGCTGCTCCATCTGCTGCATATTACCTCCTCATTGAACACCACCCTCGGCTTCCATGGCAGCCCTTGCTCCTCATTCTCCCACTTCTGTGTGCTCTCCACTGTGATACTCTTTGTGGAACATTCTCTCACCCACCCCTCATATGCTGGTGTTCCCCAGGATTCTCTTCTCACTCTGCTTGTTTTCTGTCAGTAACATGCCCACCCTTGAGTTAAATTTTCATCTGTACATGAATTCCCAGGTCTTTATAGCTCCCCTAAGCATTCCTACTGAGCTCCAGACCCAGGACCAATTGACCTGTCCACTAGAAACCCCCCAAAAAAACCAAACCTGTTGCCTTCTAGTCAATTTCCACTCATAGTGATCCTATGGGACCGGGTAGAACTGTCCCATAGGGTTTCCAAGGAGCAGCTGGTGGATTCGAACTGCCAACCTTTTGGTGAGCAGCCGTAGCTCTTAACCACTGCACCACCAGGGCTCCCTGTCCACTGGGAACTCCCCTTAAAAGCTCTCCTCAACAAGCCCACCTTCCTTTTGGAGTATCAGATCAAACTATTTTGCAGTATTTGAATTAAATCATTTTCATTCCAAATCATTTAACCAAATTATTTTGCCTTCTGTTATGGATTGAATTGTGGCTTCCCACCACACCCCAACCCCTCATATGTATTGGAATTCTAACCCCTATACATTTGAAGCAGCCCTGGTGGCACAGTGGTCAAGAGCTCAGCTGCTAACCAAAAGGTTGGTAGTTCAAATCTATCAGCTGCTCCTTGGAAACCCTACGGGGCAGTTCTTCTCTGTCCTAGGGGGTCGCTTCGAGTCAGAACAAGTTTGTTTGTTTGGGTTTATGCCTCTGGATGTGATCCCATCCATCCGGGAATAGGGCTTTCTTTGTTACGTTACTGAGGCTGTACCATGTGAAGATCACCAAGAAACCAAGGAAGGACAGGAGACAAGGATCTTCCCCCCGAGTTGACAGAAACAGCTCTCCCCCAGAGCCGGTGCCCTGAATTTGGATGTCTAGCCTCCTGAACTGTGAGAAGATAAATTTCTGATCTTTAAAACCACTCACTTGTGATATTTCTGTCACAGCAGCACAAGGAGACTAAGACACCTCCCAAACTTGCTCGAACTACTTCTCAGAAAATTGGAAGTTATCCCCTGAGCCTCCCTCATTGCCCTGGCCCACACTACACTAATCAGTCACTATGTCCTGTTGACTGTTCCTCCTGAGTACCTCTGGGGTTGGTCTCCTGTCCTTTTCTCCTAGTTACTGC